AGACAGACAGACAGACAGACAGACAGACAGACAGACAGACAGACAGACAGACAGACAGACAGACAGACAGACAGGCAGACAGGCAGACAGACAGACAGACAGACAGACAGACAGGCAGACAGACAGACAGACAGACAGACAGACAGACAGACAGACAGACAGACAGACAGACAGACAGACAGACAGCGAGCGAAAGAAAGAGAGAGAGAGAAAGAGATAGCTCGATGCAATGAAGTCGATCCTGACAGCTTTAAAGCTCAATCTCTAGTTCTTATATTTATCTGATACCCAGCTCATCCCATGATATCCCTATCTTTTTTAACCTTCTCCAATTCTTCCCTCTATCTGGTCCAATGCAGCTGACCCCAAATCTTCCCTACATTATCATCTCTGTCTCCAGTTCTCTACCCCGATGGGTGTCGAGTTGGTCATACGCCCTAGTGCACCTTTTCCTGAAACTATGCGCTTTTGTATTTTTAGGTGACAGTGTCGATTCCGGCCTCCTAACTATAGCTTTCGATTTCTATGTTGTCTAATGTGTCCTTCTACTCTTCTGCTTCTTTCTATAAGTGTCGATCAATACATGTTTCTAAGGTCCCAGGGGCTCCCATCTGTTAATTTATGTCCTCTCTGTGACATTCAGCTCACGCTGCATATTCACCACGTTATCACCTCTGTCTTCAAGTGTCTACTCGATAGATCAGTTTGTCCCCTCTGGGTTGATACCCACAGATTAACGCTGCTTATACGATCTCAGCTTAGATGGCAGACCAACAAGACAGATCCCCGACACTTCCTTCAACCTCCAAAGAAGTTGCAATCAGGGCGTAAGCTTTTTTCTTGGCCAAAATAAAATAAAAAAATGTGCCGATAATCACCACAAAGTATGTTGAATGTTGAATTAGGAATCGACGTCACTCGGGAACTTCTCATTTGTGCTCCGTCCCCATCTACGGCAGCAAGCGAAGAGTTTCAATTTCGATGGCAAAAAATAGCCGACTGATTATATTTCCGTCTCATCCTTTTCCTAAGTGTTGAGCGTCGGCCACATTTCCTGGTAACACCTCGAGGCGCCATTCTCCTCTGACTGCAATAATCTATCGGCGCATCCGCACTGTTTACTCGCTCCCAAAGAACCCGCACAATATCTAGCCTGTCATACATCAGTTCACCACTAAGTGTTGCAGAGTTGGCCAGTCTATCTGCCTGCTCATTTCTCAACACACCGGCATTACATGGAGAAAATATCCAAAGGACTCTAACTACCCGAGACCTCTGAAGTGATGCTTGCCACTCTGCACGAAGCATGCCTGTCTTTATCTTTCTCAACATGCTCTGTGCGTCAGTTACAATGACGGCATGTGCGTACAGCTGATTCTCAAGCCAGCGAAAGGCAGCAAAGACTGCCTCCACCTCCATTCTCAAACTAGACGTTGATATATCATGTACAAAGCTTTGCTGCACAAAGCGATGTCCATTCACCTTCGCTATGAACCCCCGTTCACTTCTTCGGCCCCTCAACGTAGGGCCATCTGTATAGATAATCACACAACTTGGGCGGGAACTGTCATGAATCAATTGTTGAATTTCTGATTCTGCAGCGCCATCTGGCCAGTCCCTGCACTCATGGCTTAACGTGATTAGAACACTTCACAAGTATGAAACTTGTTCGGATACCTTGACCTACTCCTCTCCTCATTCAAATTTATCAAGCCTGCACACATGTCTAGTTGTGTCTTCAGCTTGCGCCATCCAAAACCTTCCTCTGTTTGGTCTGTGACCCTTAGCTCTACCTAGGGCTTCATGCAGGAGGTGCCTCTTGTCCGCAGCTACTCTGAGATATGACTTTTCTTGCAGAACATTGAGCCTGTCTGCAATAGTAGGCAGTGCAAGCATATATCGCCTACATACTACCGGGATATCTCTTGTACATCCCACAATTACCCCCATGGCTTAATTCTGTATGCGTTCAAGTTTTATCAGCGGACTCTTTGATATGGTAAGCATTCCAAGTCCGTAATCTATCACCGACAAGATCACATGCTGGAACATTGTGAACAGCATTCTTTGTTCCATGTCCATTGCTGCCATAATCTTGAATGCATTGAGTCCTTTTTGGCATTTCATCGCAACTGCCTCCACGCGATCCCTATAGGATAGGCTTCTATCAAAAGTGATACCCAGGTACCTCAGTTTGCTTTCTCTTTTGATGTTACTGTTATTAATTACATAACATAGCTTTGAACCATTAGGGTGGTGAAGGTGTATTGATGGAAGCACCAGCACATAAATCAGGCCATCTTTTTCAGTCTTCTGCTTGATAAATAAGTGTGTGATAACTTAGTCCGTTAATTTCTTGATGTTGTCATTCCAGAGTTTTTCTTTGCCTTCCTCTTCTTCGACTACCCCCCCCCCCCCAATGTTTCTTGAAATACAGTCTTTGCAATCGAATCATGTCTCACCACGTGCCCAAACGAAGCTAGCTTGCGACATTTCACCTCTGCCAAGAGAGGCTCCTGATGTCAAGCAAATTTGAATATTTTGTCTCTGACATATTTATTAGTTTTGTGTTCTAAATAATTCGTAAAATGCGTCTGTTGCATTTACATTTGAAAGTCTGAATCCTCCTTTCCATTTCCACAGTGAGAGTCCAACTGTCACATTCATCTAAGAAGAAAAGACAACACCAGTGAGGCTTGGAAGATTAGCTCTTACAATTCTATTGTCCAGAGAGCACCACAAAACAGCCGCCTTTTCTGAGTTGATGACAGCACCCATTTTTGCAGCTCCAGGGCTATCCGTTGTCTCATTAAGTAAATATTACAGAAGCGCGAAAAAAAAATATTTCTAAAAGGTGCCGGCGCTGCGTAACGCCAGGTGTAACTTGCAGTCCTATGCAACTCTAGCTCATTCCATGTCTGCCGTCATCATGACCTTCGCCGCAGACTGACACCCACAAAGAGTTAACAGCCAAAGCTACGTGTGACCCCAAACACAATCTGACCTTTGACATTAACCCCCAGGTGGGTCAAGGACATCAGCCCCCAACAACAAGGACCGGCAGCAGAAGGCAGCCCCAGTTTCCGCTCTCGCCATCGACAGCCGACATCCTGCAGACCAGAATCCGACAATCTTTGCACAATTTATCCACAAGTATTCGTTCCAAAGCCGCGATCCCTCGTTCGTGTAAGTATACTTTTTAAAACTAGCAAACATCCTGGGTTAAACTGACCCACAACGCCAAGAGATGCCGTTCTTACTTATCAACGTCTTTATTTGTGAAACTTTGTTGAAGGAAGGAATTTGAAACCGAAGAAAGGGAAAACAATGGAGACCCGCCGCAAACGAAACGATATCAAGTTGTTTCATTTCACAACTATGACCTGCGCGTTTTGTTTTTATAATCCGTTTTGATGCGTTGGCTGAACTTAAATATTAGTGTTTCGATATAATCCTAATGATGTGTCATGAGCTATGGCGACTTCTGTGAAAATAAAGGCATGACTTGTGTATCTGACATTGTTGCTGACCTGGTTTTGACGATAGTCGTAGCGCAGATTGTGGTTTGTAAACACATTCTTTTGCGAAGAGCCGTCGGGCCGCTCCTCCGTGTGCGGCAGATAGAGCGGTCAGCTAGTGGAATTTGAAAATGTGCAGTTATCCTACCCTTAGCTGGTATTTTTCTGGATTTGTTTCCCTGCATTCTGAGCCCTTGAGGTTGATTGCTGCAGATATCACCCACCTCCATTCACCTTTATGATTGGCCTTCTCTTTCCTGGTGATGACTCCAAGAGTTTCCAAGTCTGTCTGCGTATGTCTTTTTCTTGGACTGCCTCTGGTCTACTCACATTCAATTCTTTTGTGCAAGCAGTGTTTGTCTTGTGTCTTACTAGTTAGGTGACATTAAAAAGCTCACCAAGGATGCTAGTAATAGCAGCAGAACTGTAGTCTTAAATAAAATAAGTTCTTATCACATTTGCTTCCGTCGAAGTTGTACATATGTCTGAGAGGAACCAACAGCCAGCATACATGTAAGCCAGCTCTGCAAAACAGATGTGCACTTGAAACTCAAAGCACTGGAAGAAGACTAAAAGTAAAGATATGGATGAACAACCAGAACTTTCCGTTGGAGTTTAAAGCTGGTGAACACAAAGAAGCAGAAAGGGGCATTAAGTGCACTCTCCACCCCCTCCCCCCCATCCTCAATCTACCCATTGCCCTCTGACAAACCTCAGCACCAGTACAGCTTCAACCAACAAATTGTAAAACTTTCAGAGTAAGTGAGAAACACAAATGGCTTAATAACTGCATCAAAAGCTTCACCTAAACTGTTAATGCTTTTATTACCCTTAAACTCCCTTTCTTTAATTATGTCTGTGTTGATTCAACTCCCCATATATGTCTTTCCTATTCTGAAAATAAAATCATTTTCTCACTGTCTTATGTCACAGATGGATGTTTTATTAACCCTTTGTATAGAATAATTAGTTTAACTATTTCTGCCTCTATTTCACTGTAAGGCCTAAGTATTTATTGCTTTTAAACGCAACTCTCTTACATAGATAGGGTTAAAGTAACTACTGCTTGAACTGAAAGAGTTAAAACAGCGCACGCCCTTTGCAGTTAAATGCAGTAAGGCCTAAACTCATATTTTATACACCAATCGGCACTTGACGAGTGTTGTTTTCAACATTATGCTGGCTGCCTTTATTTCCCAGGAGGCTGTATTGACTGAAAGCTGAGGTCATGTTACAAAAAAAAAAAAACTTCCTTTGTTCAGATTTAAACCAGAAACATTAGGTTCCACAGGTGAGCCTCTAGCTGCTACACCTCAGCAGCTCACTTATTTATTGTAGAACTATTAAATTCATCTTATTGTGCAGAAAGTTTGCCACAGTTTTATAGTGGGAAATATTCATGAATCCCTGTTCTTCAATTTTCTTCCAGATATTAGATTTTCAATCATAACTGTGCAGTAACAAAGATCTGACCAGCCAAGCATGTCAGCCAAGGTTCCCACACAGCTCCTGGAGGAGATCAACAAGACAGACTCCAGCAGCTTGCGACATGTTGAAGCCCAGGTGAAGAACCTATTGCCTTCTAATGAGGGTAAGTTCCGGAGTATAGCCACATCTTTCTGTTTCCTTGTCAGGACAGGACACAGCAGACTGAACAGTCACGTCACTCTGTTAAGGTTTACATGATTAGGAAGGGCTGTTGCAAATAGGCACACCGCAGTTGGACTTAAATGAATAAACATTGTACTAAACATAATAAATACTGGGCTAAAATACAATTAAATATTAGATTTAAATGATAAATATTGGATTTTAAATAATAAATATTAGACTAAAAATACTAAACATTGGACTAAAAGTTGTGATGTCATTTTGCTCACTGCCAACAAAACCCGTTTTCTTGGTCAAAGGGAGGTAAAGCATTTTTATGTGTGTTTGTGTGTGCACCGTTGTTATTTAGTAATTACTTCCCATCACATAAAATATTCACCTTTGTCAAAAATCTCTCTAAAAATGCAAATCCATCATTTTAGTGACTTTTAGGCTGTGAGGACGCAATAGCTAGCAGGCTTGCCTGTCTGCTCGGTGGTCATAGGGTTCAACCTCCAGTTTTTTTAATAAAAACTGACCAAGATGCCAAATGTCTTCTCTTCCTTTGGTTTCTTAAGGTAGGGTTTCGGAGGATTATAACAGTGCATTTATTTCTTGTTAAAGATTTTTGCCTGGTTAAATGAAATGGTTAATACCTCTTTAGACGCAAACCCCAGTTTTAGTCACTTAAACAACTTAAAATAGGATGAGTTAGAGTAATACTTTCCAGGTACTGAAAGAGTTACCTAACACTTTTATAGGGGCAGCAGAGTGTAGCCAGGTCATAATGAGTTGAGGACTAGATTCATGTCAACAGTGATATCAGTTAGACCATAAGTCAGGACTGTCCCAGTTATAGATAGTCAACAAAGATAATTATAGATTGTCAACACAGTTGCCAACAAAGACTGGCCTACTGACCTCAGGTCTTTTTATGTGTGGATCTGCCTAGAGATGCAGAGGTGCTGAACCACATGTGATGGTACACCAGCACCAGGGCATATACACCAGCACCAAGGCATATTCACCAGCACCAGGGAATATACTGATCAAGATCTATCTCAACTTTTCGTGGTCAATCTAGAAAAAGATCAAGACCTATCTACAACTCTTCATGGTAGTTTAAGACCTATCTACAACTCTTCATGGTAGTTTAAGACCTATCTACAACTTTTCATGGTTATTCTAGAAATATTTCAAGATGTATCTACAACTTTTCTTGGTAGTTTAAGACCTATCTACAACTTTTCATGGTAGTTTAAGACCTATCTACAACTTTTCATGGTTATTCTAGAAATATTTCAAGATGTATCTACAACTTTTCTTGGTAGTTTAAGACCTATCTACAACTCTTCATGGTAGTTTAAGACCTATCTACAACTTTTCATGGTTATTCTAGAAATATTTCAAGATGTATCTACAACTCTTCAAGGTCATTCTAGAAGTAGTTCAGAACCGGAGATATGATCACCATGGTTATCATAAATACATTTAGACTGTATTGAGCTATGCTTCATTCCAAAAGTTAAGTCCAGTGTGCACATCCATTTTGCAAATCTGGCTTAATATTTGCAGACTGTTGGTTCCTCGCCTCTCAGGCAGTTGCACTCCAGCATCAAAGAAAACAGCCCTAATTGAGTGGCTTTCATGGCATGCTTGTTAGGGGGCAGTGTGTCTGTTCTTTTGTCACCAAAATGGGGCCCTGGAATCCACAGGGGAAAGTAGCACTCTTCAGTATGGGCACCGTTTATAGCCCTGGTGATGCCTGGCCAGTGTTCAAACTCCTGCCATGTCTTTCATCCAGAGTTACAGTTGTAATTGCTGTAGCGAACCTCTCTTTTGAGATGCTGGATGAGTTCTTATACTCTTATCGTCTTTTTAAGCCTCACAGTCACACAGAACTTAACCTTTTGGTTGGACATTTTAAGAAGCCTTGTGTTTATGTTCAATAAAGTATTCCTTTTAAAATAAGTTTTGTTTGTTGTTTGTTCACCTGCTGTAAACCCCGGCGGAAAGACATGGTTGTTTGTCCATTTCTGGACTGCGTCTTTGTTCCAGGACACGAGTTTTGTAAGTCAATTTGTTTTACAGATCTTGCTTATTTGTATGCGGACTGTTGGTTTCTTGCCTCTTAGGCAGATGCACTCCAATTTTTTAAGGAAGTCCCCAATTGGTCAACTGTTACAACATGCTTGTTGGGGAGGCAGTGGGTCTGTTCTTATATTCCCCACAATGGGACCCCAGAACCCACACAGGGAATAACAGTTTAAAAATCCTGGCAGTCATCCTTGAAGACCCAGTATGTTGGGTTAGTTAGTTTGTTGACAGATTATCCTAATTGCACCTTGAACCACTCAGTCCAATAGTGCTCGGATCCTCTCCTCAGTAAATCCTGCAGCATGTATCGGCTGATGACACCAGTCCTGTGTTGGTTTATTCTTCTTCTTTAGCTACCCGCGTAGTGTTCTTGTTTGGCGACACCCCGTTTAACTTGCTGCTCTTGCAGTCTGACCATGGTTGCAGATTCACAGTTCTCAATTGGTTCACGCAAACATCTTAGATCTCTTAGAGCATTCAGTATATCAGCCTGGTCCATGGCTTGTCCAGCTTTCACAGTAGCCTTATCTGCAAGCCTATCAGCTTGCTCATTTCCTTGTACCCCCGCATGTCCTGGCATGAATAAATCTAGTATCTAAATCTGAACCAGTATGTTGTGTGAGTAATCTCATGTGGCTGCTTCTGTTTCAGCCATCATCCAGGAGAAGACAGCCGAGTTGAGAGACACGATTAACAATTTTAGCAAAGACCAGCTCAAGCATGCAACTACAGAGGAGAAGATTTTTCTCCCAAGCACAGATGGTATGTTCTTGCTGTACAGTCATGTATGTGTCAGTGTGAAGTTGTTGCCTTTGTTTTATTGTGAAATTGTTGCTTTCAAATTTTAGTGTGAAATGTTTGCCTTGAAGTTGTTTTAGTGTGAAGTTGTTGCCTTAAAGTTGTTTTATTGTAAAATTGTTGCTTCAAAGTTGTTTAATTTGAAATTTTTGACCTGAAATTGTTTCAGTTGGAATTTGTTGCCTTTAAGTTGTTTTAGTATGAAGTTGTTGTCTTGAAGTTGTTTTAGTGTGAAATTGTTGCCTTGAAGTTGTTTTAGTGGGAAGTTGTTGCCTTAAAGTTGTTTTAATGTGAAATTGTTGCCTTGAAGTTGTGTTTTATTGTGAAATTGTTGCCTTAAAGTTGTTTTCATGGAAATTGTTGCCTCGAATTTGTTTTAGTGTTTAGCTAGTACTTGGCTTAGAGCTTAGTGAAAATGTACCACAGTCCTGGTTGTACCACAGTCCTGGTTGTACCACAGTCCTGGTTGTACCACAGTCCTGGTTGTAACACAGTCCTGGTTGTACTACAATCCTGGTTGTACCGCAGTCCTGGTTGTACCGCAGTCCTGGTTGTACCGCAGTCCTGGTTGTATCGCAGTCCTGGTTGTATCGCAGTCCTGGTTGTACCGCAGTCTTTGTTGTACCACAGTCTTCTTTGTATCACAGTCCTGGTTGTATCACAGTCCTGGTTGTATCACAGTCCTGGTTGTATCACAGTCCTGGTTTTATCACAGTCCTGGTTTTACCACAGTCCTGGTTTTACCACAGTCTTGATTGTATCACAGTCCTGGTTGTATCACAGTCCTGGTTGTATCACAGTCTTGGTTGTACCACAGTCCTGGTTGTATCACAGTCCTGGTTGTACCACAGTCCTGGTTGGTCCATAGTCCTGGTTGTACCACAGTCCTGGTTGTACCACAGCCCTAGCTCTGTCTCAGTCCTGGTTTTACCACAGCCCTGGTTGTATCACAGTCCTGGTTGTACCACAGTCCTGGTTGTACCACAGTCCTAGTTGTACCACAGTCCTGGTTGTACCACAGTCCTGGTTGTACCACAGTCCTGGTTGTACCACAGTCCTGGTTGTATCACAGTCCTGGTTGTATCACAGTCCTGGTTGTATCACAGTCCTGGTTGTATCACAGTCCTGGTTGTACCACAGTCCTGGTTGTATCACAGTCCTGGTTGTACCACAGTCCTGGTTGTACCACAGTCCTGGTTGTACCACAGTCCTGGTTGTACCACAGTCTTCGTTGTATCACAGTCCTGGTTGTATCACAGTCCTGGTTGTACCACAGTCCTGGTTGTACCACAGTCCTGGTTGTACCACAGTCCTGGTTGTATCACAGTCCTGGTTGTACCACAGTCCTGGTTGTATCACAGTCCTGGTTGTACCACAGTCCTGGTTGTATCACAGTCCTGGTTGTACCACAGTCTTCGTTGTATCACAGTCTTCTTTGTATCACAGTCCTGGTTGTATCACAGTCCTGGTTGTATCACAGTCCTGGTTGTACCACAGTCCTGGTTGTACCACAGTCCTGGTTGTACCACAGTCCTGGTTGTATCACAGTCCTGGTTGTATCACAGTCCTGGTTGTATCACAGTCCTGGTTGTATCACAGTCCTGGTTGTACCACAGTCCTGGTTGTATCACAGTCCTGGTTGTACCACAGTCCTGGTTGTATCACAGTCCTGGTTGTACCACAGTCTTCGTTGTATCACAGTCTTCTTTGTATCACAGTCCTGGTTGTATCACAGTCCTGGTTGTATCACAGTCCTGGTTGTACCACAGTCCTGGTTGTATCACAGTCCTGGTTGTACCACAGTCCTGGTTGTACCACAGTCCTGGTTGTATCACAGTCCTGGTTGTACCACAGTCTTCGTTGTATCACAGTCTTCGTTGTATCACAGTCCTGGTTGTATCAGGGTTAAATATCCACAGTGGGTAGTTTATAAAATGACCACTGTCGTGGTTTTTGGTCAGTGGTACAAGAGTCGCACAATGGAAGAGATTGGGGTCTTACTATATGGGTGCTCACATCTACTACACCCAACTGTGTTCAGGAGATGGCACCTTTTGTGTCAGGTAAAAAGTTTGTTGCATGTCCTTTACAGGGTGTTGCAAAACCAGCTGCACATTTTTAAGCTGTTTGTGATTTCGATAGGCAATTTTGCGTTGAGTAGTTTGTTGCTTACTGAATATCCGGCTCTCAATACCGCTGTTAAAACAGACCCAAGAAGGTCTGCTGCTAAATTACCCACAGCTGGGGTTGAGCCCGGCACTAGGGAGTTACGAAGCATGTTCACAACGCCTAAGCCACGGATGCCGACGTCAACTAAAAGGGTTATTAAATAATATGACAGCGTCACTAGTGTTGAGCTTTTGGAGATAAATTGAAGTGAATCAAGAAGCGAAGAAAAGATGCTGGCAGTGGATAGGGCACATGATGAGACAACCTGAAAATAGTATAACTGTAATGTTTTTGCAATAGAACCTATAGGCTCCCCCCACCCACCCCACACACACAAAACGCATGGAGACAGGAAGTTAGAGGGTAAAGTTAAAAAGGAAGGGCGGAGGGAAGTGAGAAAACACTAAAGAAAATGGGTCATGACCACATTGGAATTACAAAAAAAAAAAAAAAAGATCTTTTTAAAACAACCCATTTTTACACAGGTTACTAATAAATGTATGCCAAATATAATCTACATTGTAAATTTAAAAAAAAAATAGCATGTAATAATAAATGAAGATAGTAATCTGTAAACACAACAGGATGAAGCGTTGAATCAAATACATTTCCAGGGGCCTAAAGAAAACACATGTCTGGTTACTCATTCCCTGGCCTCTACCACTGCCGCTTTCAAGAAAATCTGACATCAACTTGGCTTAAAAAAGTTATTTAGCTCAAAGGGCACCCCCCTTTCATGCTAGTTTTAGTTAATGAATTTATATTCTGACCTCTAAAGTGTTTGTGCAGGCGTGGAGACAGCTAAAAGCATTAACTATGCGTCTCCTAAACGGGTCAGTGTGGACAAGTCATAAAAATGACATTTAAGGGGACTTGGCTCCCAGTTGGAAGTGTCGGTTTTGTGGCTTCTCTGGGCAAAGGGTTAATGAAAGCAAGTCAGTATTCCAGGCAGACAGATGTCTTTGTCAGATTGGCACCTGACCCTGGCACTGAGCTCTTGCCACAAGCTTCTGTATTTATGCTCCAGGTATTGATTCTTAGTTAACGCAAACACATGCTTACTCATCCACTTGTATTGTCACTTGTAAACATCAGAGATTCAACATGAGAAGGTAGAAGTGGAGTTACGGGAAAGAATTGGATCTTTTCATAAAGAAGAACTTCATCACACGGATACAGAAGTCAAAAATTGGTTGCCGACAGAAGCTGGTACAAAACCATTTTATACGGTAGTGCCAGATCACGTCGTCCCATCTTACAAACATATACCCCTTTTTCCAGCTTTTTATTTTGGCTTAAACCAACTCTATCCTTTGTTGTATTTTTTTCTTGTTTGTAGATTCAATTTATTCCATAGTGATGTTAGCAAGAAAAGTCTTTTTAAGTTTTAGTATCATGCTAGTTATGTGGCTGCAACTGGTGCCAGATTACCAGTTCAACCTAAAGAAGGTTTGAGTTCTTATTTTATTGAAAAAAATAAACTTGAATTTTTGGGGTGTTAAAAAACAAACATGCAAGCACTCTAGAACGTTCTTCTGGTAAAAACTAAAAGAATTGTGGAAAGCTGCAGTTAATTTGAGTTTAGAGTAGCTGTTAAGAGTTAACAGAAGTATACATTAACTAAGACAGTCCTTGAGTTCAGTCACAGGTCAGCAAAATGGAAAGAAGGAGAGACATGACATGACATTGTATTAGTTTGGAAATTGAGATAACAGAATAGGCCAGTCCAGTGTTGGGTTCTCATAGAATGTAGTTAGTATTTTCTGTGAAATTATAAAGGTCAGTTCTTTTGAAGTCAGAGTGTATTTACCTGGGAGGCGAGCCATAACAGTCTGCATGTGGATAAGCCAGATTTTGTGAAACAGATGTGCAGTAAACCTCAGGTTCTGGAACTGGACGAACAACCAGAACTTTCAAAACGAGTTTACATCCAGTGAACGCAAAGAAGAACACATGAAGCCAGTAGTTTCCTCTCAGTGGCAGATGTTCAAGTAACAGACAAAATTGTCAATTTTAGAAAATGAAAGTATTTTCTTATTAAAGTCATTATTGGTTGGTAGCTAGTGAAGAAGATTGATATAAATGAATGAAATAAAGAGTTCAATTTCCTTTGACCTGCTTGAAATCTTTGCTTCTCATTTACTTTTATTGTCCTAAACCCATGCTTGATCATTTCCTAAAAATGTTGAAATCACTTGTTTTCCCTTCACCTCTGCTTAGATGTAAACGTTTGTTATTTACATTTCCCTTTACTTAAAGACATTTGTCTCATCTATTTCCCTGTACTCAGAGACATTTATCATTTAGAAAATTCCCTCTGCTTGGAAAAGACATTTATCATTTATATTTCCTGCTTGGAAAAGACATTTATCATTTATATTTGCCTATACTTGGACAAAGTCAGTTATGTTTCTATGTACTTGGACAACGACATTTATCTTTTGCAAAATTCCTGTACTTAGACAAAAACATTTATCTTTTACAGTTCCCTATACTTGGACAAAGACATTTATCATTTACAGTTCCCTATACTTGGACAAAGCCATTTATCATTTACAGTTCCCTATACTTGGACAAAGCCATTTATCATTTACAGTTCCCTATACTTGGACAAAGACATTTATCATTTACAGTTCCCTATACTTGGACAAAGACATTTATCATTTACAGTTCCCTATACTTAGACAAAGTCATTTATCATTTACAGTTCCCTATACTTGGACAAAGACATTTACATTTCTCTGTACTGGACAAAGTCGTTTACATTTCCCTGTACTTGACATCATTTTATTTTCAACTTCTCATTTTCATTTGAGATAATTTCAATTTACTTGGGACAAAAGATACATTTACAAGTCACATGATTGTGCTTTCATTTTTACTTGGAACAGATGTGTCACTCATGTTGTTTCCCTATATCTGACTTACAAAAGCATTTGTTATTCACTAGATTTCCCTAAATATTTACTGGGGGGGGGGGGGGGGGGGGGAGATTTACTATCTGCATAATTTTCCCTTTTCTCTGTAATTAACATTTTTTTCTCTCACCAATACTGGGACAAAATCGATGGACGGGTTCATGCCCCATGCACCCCATTTTACTGTATAAACAGTTATATTGAGACACTATATAGCTAGGTGAAGAAACCCACTGTTGTTTATGGATATTGGACGTTGATCTCAGAGAACTAAACTTGAAGAAAAACGGAAAAGCTGGAGAAATTAAACAGCAGCTCTAAACCTTGATAAAGATGGCAAGAAACTCTGGAGATTAGCCAAATCACTCAATGAAGAGAGTTTCTCTCCTAGACAAACAATCACGCTAAGTGATGGTGACAAAATCTTCAGAGGAAAACAAGCTGCAGATTTGTTTGCCAGAACATATAGTGTTGAAAGCAACATGACCCTTAATGAGGACCATCAGAGAGAAATAAGGAAAGAAATACAAACAAGCAAACAAACAAATAAGAGACAGACAGATACTCCTGCCTCTATGAGGGAGCCATTTACCATGGGCGAACTACAAAATGCCATCTTTAGGCTTAAGTTAAAAAAGTCTGCAGGTCCAGATGAAATCAGCAACGAAATGCTAATCAACCTGAGCTCATCTGCTAAAGTAAAGCTGCTGGAAATTTTCAACATCAGCTGGGAGAAAGGTTTGGTGCCTCAGGTATGGAGAGAAGCCATCACAATACCCATTTTAAAAAAAAAGAAAAATTAAGACACAAGCTTCGAGCTATCGCCCAATTAGTCTCACAAGCTGTGTAGGAAAGACATTGGAAAGAATTGTAAATTCAAGACTGAAATGGCACTTAGAATCTGAGCAGATCTTGGGTGCCAGAGCAGGCTGGGTTTAGGGAATGTCACAGCATAGAAGACCAAGTCACCTACCTGTCACAAACTGTAGAGGATGCCTTCCAAGAGAAGAAAAAGGTCCTGGCGGTATGGGTTGACTTCAAACAAGCTTTTGACAAAGTCTGGAAAGATGGTCTCATTGCAAAACTGAAGAGAAAAGGAATCCAAGGAAACATGCTAAAATGGATCCAATCCTTCTTACACAGCAGGAGAACTAGAGTCAGTCTTGATGGCCAGCAGAGTAGAAAAGTGTTACTTCGACAAGGAGTACCACAGGGAGGAGTTATCTCTCCAACTCTCTTTCTTGTGTATATAAATGATCTGGTGAAAGACCTCCCTACAGGAGTAAAAGCTGCCCTGTATGCAGATGATCTGGCACTCGGGTGTACCGATGAACACACCACAGTGGCAAATATAAGAATGCAGCGAGCAGCAGATCTCTTGATGACATGGGCAGAAAAATGGCATGTTGCCATCAACACAGACAAAACATCCACAACGCTTTTCTCTCTTTCCACCAGGGACAAAGCTGCTAGTATTCACCTAGGAACATCCTTGCTAAAGGAAGAAAGCTTCCCCACTTATCTTGGAGTAACATTTGATAAAAGGCTCACATGGAGCAAACATATAGAAAATGTAGAAGGGAAGGCCAGGAGACGACTAGGCCTACTTGGAAAACTGGCAGGTACAGGATGGGGAGCGAATGGAAAAACCCTAAAGAAAGTTTATAATGGAGCGATAAGACCCCACTTGGAGTTTGGTGCAACAGCATGGTCAACAGCTGCTAATTCCCATCTACAATCGTTAGACAGAGTGCAAAATCAAGCTCTTAGACTCATCACAGGATCCATGAAAACTACACCAATCCTGAAGATGCAGAAAATAACTGCAATGCAGACATTGTCCTATAGAAGAGACACTAAAACTATGATCCAGATGGAGAAGTTTAATAGTATGCAGTCACACCCAATGAATAAAAGGTTAGATGATCTGGCATTAGGGCGTCTCAAACGTAGCAGCTTTGTCCATCGGGGGAAAAGACTTAGAAGACAGTATCAAGCTGATCTACCTATTAGAACAACACCACTGAAACCTACCCTATACCCTGTACCTTGGGAGCAAGTCAGTGATACAATACAGATAATGACTTCAGTCAATGGATTCACAACTGGAGATGAGTCCAATGATCTTCAAAAACGAACAGCTGCTCTTAGCATAATTCATGAAAACTATCCCGAACAGTCATGGATACATGTTTACACAGATGGATCAGCAACCAGTGCGGTTAAAAATGGGGGTGCTGGAGTCTTTATTACATACCCAGGCAACCACCGCCACACAAAGTGGATACCCACTGGTAAATTCTGTTCCAACTACACAGCAGAGATTGTAGCACTAGAGCAGGCTGCCGAAATGTTACACAACACCAGTTCTGACTGCCACCAAGTAGTTATATTTACAGATGCGCTTTCAGTGCTTCAAGCCCTCAAGAGTGGCAAACTCCCTCACTTGAGATCAGAACTTGGCAAGGTGGCTGCCCAAAAGTGTACTGTACTCCAGTGGGTGCCATCCCACTGTGGTATACCAGGAAACGAAACCGCAGATAAACTTGCTAAAAAAGGGGCAGAATGTGACCAGGAAGAGAATGCAGTAACATACTATGAGAAGAAAAGGGCCATCAAGGCTATTAGAAGTGAACAGAGTCTGGCCAGAGATGACTACCACTTACTTGACCGGCATGGGCAGGTCATTGTCCTACGTCTCAGGACAGGACATAACAAACTTAACCAGCATATGCACAGGCTTCGTCTAAGTAGTTCACCTTTTTGCCCTTGTGGGCTATGTGTGCAGACTGCAGAACATGTCCTGCAAGACTGTCCCTTGTTCAGCCCATTAAGAAAGGAATACTGGCCCAGTGAGTCACCACTGTACACAAAGTTGTATGGGACTAAAAATGAACTCATTAAAACAGTCAAGTTTATCACAAGAACCTGTCTGTCGGTGTAAATCAGAAAGCGAACACAAGAAGAAGAAGAAGGACGTTGATCTATACTTGGAAGTGTTTGCATTATCTCTGTTTATATAATATAGACAAATATTTCTCTTTACTTTATATAGACAAATATTTCTCTTTGCTTAATATAGACACATATTTCTCTTTACATAATATAGACAAAATATTTCTCGTTACTTTATAAAGACAAATATTTCTCTTTACTTTATAAAGACAAATATTTCTCTTTACTTTATATAGACAAATATTTCTCTTCACTTTATATAGAAAAATATTTCTCTTTACTTTATATAGAAAAATATTTCTCTTTACTTTATATAGAAAAATATTTCTCTTTACTTTATATAGACAAATATTTCTGTTTATAGACAAATATTTATGTTTATAGACAAATATTTATGTTTATAGACAAATATTTCACTTTACGTAATATAGACAAATATTTCTCTTCACTTTATATAGACAAATATTTATCTTCACTTTATATAGACAAATATTTATGTTTATAGACAAATATTTCTGTTTATAGACAAATATTTCTGTTTATAGACAGATATTTCTGTTTATAGACAAATATTTCTCTTTACATAATATAGACAAATATTTCTCTTCACTCTATATAGACAAATATTTCTCTTTACTTTATATGGAAAATATTTCTGTTTATAAACAAAAATTTCACTTTACGTAATATAGACAGATATTAATCTTTACTTAATATAGACAAATATTTCTCTTTATTTTTTATAGACACATATTTCTCTTAATATAGATAAAAATGTCTCTTTACTTAATGTAGAAAAATATTTTTCTTTACTTAATATAGACATAAATTTCTCTTTACTTTATTTAGACAAATATTTCTCTTTACTTTTTATAGACAGGTATTTCTGTTTATAGACAAATGTTTCTCTTTACTTTATGTAGACAAATATTTCTCTTTACTTAATATAGACATATATTTCTCTTTACTTTATATAGACATATATTTCTCTTTACCTAATGTAGACATATATTTCTCTTTACTTAATGTAGACATATATTTCTCTTTACTTAATATAGTCAAATATTTCTCTTTACTTAATATAGTCAAATATTTCTCTTTACTTAATATAGACATGTATTTCTCTTTACTTAATACATATGTATTTCTCTTTACTTAATAGACATATATTTCTATTTATTGACAAATATTTCTCTTTACTTACTATAGACAAAAATGTCTCTTTATACTTATTATAGAGAGATACAACCTTCTACTTATAGACAAATATTTCTCTTTACTTAATGCAGACAAAAGCAACATTTTACAGTATTTCTATTACCTATATTTGAATAGCAGTATTAGCCATTTACAATATTTTCTTTACCTTGTGCTTTGACAATCATGATTCTGTTGCATTGTTGTTCTTTACCTAGCTGTGGTCATCTATTTAATTTTCCTTTGTTTGTGCACAGAGGTTTTATTTGGGCTCCACCACCACATATTTGGTACGCTTCTTGAGCTGAATTTGTACAGAATAATTTACATCAGTATCTCCAACTGATCCACCCCGCACTGTAAATAAAAAAAAAAAATTATAAATACAAAATTGTTAAAAACTGTAAAACGGGTTGCTGATAACATTTTTGATCTAATGACTAGTTTGTACATCTAAAGTTAAGAATGTAGATTAATATGATAACTCCTGCATTTAATTATAGATTAAGAACACATTCCCTCCCAATTTTGATGCCATTTTATTGGGGGGGGGGGGGGGGGAGGGAGGGAGCGTCCTTGCCACATCTTCAAGGCAGGTGCCTCCTGAAAAAGGTTGGATACCGCTGATCCAGATTATTATGTTTAATTCAAATTTTCTGTAATCAGGAATTGCGAATTGAAAGATTGACTCACCATGTGGGTTCTGGGGCCCACTTTTAGAGGGAAATAATAGACGGCCCCCCCCAAAACAACCTTGTCATCAGAAACAACTAACTAGGGGTGTTTGTTTGGAGTTGGGCATTATCTGTCCGAGAAGTCAGGAACCACTGATTTGCATATAAATATTATAGATCTGTGAAATGGATATGCATGCAAAACTCTCAGTTCTGGAACAAGACTAAAGTCGAGAAGTGGGTGAACAACCAGAACTTTTCCTTTCCACCCACTGGAGTTTACAGCCGCTGGACTGCAAGAAAAAGACATGCTGTGATTCAGACAGTCACTATTTGGAAGTGACTTCAACAGGAGCAGGGAGCAGAAACCCTGTTCAACCATATAAAACAAATCATTGACCCATCTTGCATTTACAAAGTAGCCACTGTCCGGTTGGCTGGGTTCTTCACACTATTCAACTGAATTTATTTAGGGGCCACATTTTTTAAAAGGACGATCATCTTCCCTCCTCTAGTGATTGTTCCTGTGAGGAGTTAATTATAATGTTCCTATCTCAGCCTGGAAGGTGGCATAGACATGCTTCACCATGATAACTCCTAGGTCATGCAGTTGTATTAGTGTCAGAGATTCATTATTGTGCACAAGCCTAGTCTAAACAGGAATGAAGGTATCTGCTCTGTCCGTGCTTCTTCCTGTATTCTTTGTTGCATTGCTTGCCAGTGGGTTGGTTCATTCAGTACCTTTTATGTCATTATGCCCATGAGTGTAGATCCAGGTGAAGCGTGGTTAGGTGCAATTTCCGAGTGCTTTCTGCCCATGGCATGTACTAGCTGTAGTGATTGTGTCTGCTTTATGTTCATGGAGTCGTGGGCTACCATGGGTTAACATGTGCTAGCTGTAGTGATTGTGTCTGCTTTATGTTCATGTAGTCGTGGGCTACCATGGGTTAACATGTGCTAGCCATGGATACTTGTGGCAGTCTACTGCTCCCATCATCATCCTGTATCAGATCCTTTGCAGAACGTCGCTCTCATCACGGTCTGCCTAAAAGTAACTCGGTCTCTCTCCAGCTCTCCCGCCTCGCGCACTTTCAGTTCCCAGATGAGCAATATTGATAACAACACCTGTCATTGCATTTTTTTTGCAGATCAGTTGAAAAGTAATTATTTTATCTGCACTGCTAAATCAGTTAAAATATATGCGTAATGTTTCAAAAGTTAGTTTTGTATGTTTTTGTTACAGATGGGATGTTTGTGTATATATTATGCTTTCTAGTTATGTCACATTTTATTTTCTTCACAATCTCCATCTTTTCCTTCTTCCAACTGTTCCTCTTTCTACTGTTTTCAAAGAGAATGGTTGACATCTACTCTTTAACCTGCCTAACTGAGAGGTAAGTATGCATGACTTTTATCATTTTTGTAAACTAAGATTTTACTTCTACTCCATTCAAAGTAGTAGTCTCTTCCTGTGGACCTTCCCCCTTCCGGGTCACACACATACACACACTACACTGGTTTTGTGTGGGTCATTGCAGGAACTCAGTGGCCTGTTCTATGTAGTTTACATATTATTAGAGTAACAAAAAAGTGTATTGATCGGGGGGCTTTCTGTTACTCGATTAATTCATAATATTTAACGGCCTCAAAGGTTCCCCCTCTGTTTATTTATATGTAGTTTACAGTGACTTCCAGAATTTTAGTGTGCAACTTGGCATTTCAGATTTATTACTTTTTTTTTAAAATCGAGGACTAACTTTGGAATTTGAGACAATCTTGTCCCATGTCCAGTCACACTATTATGTCTTGTCTTCTTGTTTCAGACATTGGACAAGAGAAGAAACAGCAGGAGCTCAAGCAGTCGATAAGCTGCTTCAAGAGAGATAGCCTCAAGCACGCCGAGACTCAGGAAAAGAACCCGTTGCCTGAAACAGAGGGTAAATATCTTGTCACTGCTAGTGTCATTCCAACAGAGGGTAAATATCTTGTCACTGCTAGTGTCATTCCAACAGAGGGTAAATATCTTGTCACTGCTAGTGTCATTCCAACAGAGGGTAAATATCTTGTCACTGCTAGTGTCCCTCCAACAGAGGGTAAATATCTTGTCACTGTTAGTGTCCCTCCAACAGAGGGTAAATATCTTGTCACTGCTAGTGTCATTCCAACAGAGGGTAAATATCTTGTCACTGTTAGTGTCCCTCCAACAGAGGGTAAATATCTTGTCACTGTTAGTGTCCCTCCAACAGAGGGTAAATATCTTGTCACTGTTAGTTTCCCTCCAACAGAGGGTAAATATCTTGTCACTGTTAGTGTCCCTCCAACAGAGGGTAAATATCTTGTCACTGCTAGTGTCATTCCAACAGAGGGTAAATATCTTGTCACTGCTAGTGTCCCTCCAACAGAGGGTAAATATCTTGTCACTGCTAGTGTCCCTCCAACAGAGGGTAAATATCTTGTCACTGCTAGTGTCATTCCAACAGAGGGTAAATATCTTGTCACTGCTAGTGTCATTCCAACAGAGGGTAAATATCTTGTCACTGCTAGTGTCATTCCAACAGAGGGTAAATATCTTGTCACTGCTAGTGTCATTCCAACAGAGGGTAAATATCTTGTCACTGCTAGTGTCCCTCCAACAGAGGGTAAATATCTTGTCACTGCTAGTGTCATTCCAACAGAGGGTAAATATCTTGTCACTGTTAGTGTCCCTCCAACAGAGGGTAAATATCTTGTCACTGTTAGTGTCCCTCCAACAGAGGGTAAATATCTTGTCACTGTTAGTTTCCCTCCAACAGAGGGTAAATATCTTGTCACTGTTAGTGTCCCTCCAACAGAGGGTAAATATCTTGTCACTGCTAGTGTCATTCCAACAGAGGGTAAATATCTTGTCACTGCTAGTGTCCCTCCAACAGAGGGTAAATATCTTGTCACTGCTAGTGTCCCTCCAACAGAGGGTAAATATCTTGTCACTGCTAGTGTCATTCCAACAGAGGGTAAATATCTTGTCACTGCTAGTGTCATTCCAACAGAGGGTAAATATCTTGTCACTGCTAGTGTCATTCCAACAGAGGGTAAATATCTTGTCACTGCTAGTGTCATTCCAACAGAGGGTAAATATCTTGTCACTGCTAGTGTCCCTCCAACAGAGGGTAAATATCTTGTCACTGCTAGTGTCACGAGAAGGAATAAGCAAACAGACAATGTATCAAACGGCACTCATAGAAAGAAGTAGAAAGATAGAAGAACACATTAGACAACATAGAAATCGAAAGCTGTAGTTGCCGTGCCGGGAATCGAACCTGCTGTCACCTCCACATGGTGTGTGTGTGCCTCGCTGTGAAAACAAGTGCACTAAGAACATGAACAACTAGACACCTCCATGAGAGAGAAGGAAAGAATGTCATTATTGGAACTTAATTACAGTAGGGTAAAAAAAATAATTTAAAAAAAAAAGGGGCGGGGGTGGAAGGGGTTTTTGAGAAGAGAGAGAAATTGGTGTACATCTTTCCTGTGTTTGTGTGTGTTCCAAGGCCCCACAATCTAACATAAGCATGTTGTAAACGACAACTAATCAGTGATTTTTTCCCTCCGAAGTCTGACACGTTTACCTGAGCGGTGAGAAACTAACAGTCTGTATACACGTAAGCCAGATCTGTAAAATGAATGCGCATGCAAAACTCAATTTCTAGAAGTGAACAGCAGGAATATCTGCTGGAGTTTACAGCCAGTGAATATGAGGAAGAAGATGATGTCCATCAGGGCAAGTCAGCTAAGTTTGCCCAGGGTGGAGGTTAGGACAAGAATTCTCGCATGCTATATGGAGCCAGTGTTATCGTGCAGGTTGTGATGCCTGGACAAATAAATAAACAAGCCAACAAATTTCTGGAGGCCTCAGAGAGATGATTTTACAGAAGAATCCTTAGAATTCCTTGGAGAGCAGCCCGAATGTTTTGAAAGAGGCGACTCAACAGGAGAGAACAAACATCAATTTTTAGACTTTGGACTGGACACTGTGGTCTTCGAGCACACCTGTACAGGATAGGCATAAAAGAATCTGCTGCCTGTTATTGTGGAGCAGAAAGACAAACCCCTGAACACATACTGCAGTACTGCCCTTACCTCTCCCAGCAAAGACTGGATCTGGCCCAAAGGAGCCACATTGCAAGAGAAGCTATGGGGGACCGGTGGCGACCTTAAACGCACAATCCTATTTCTGACCCAGACGGGACTCAATGTTTAGCATGACTGATATCGAACGCAGAAGAAGAAGAAGAAGAAAGAGGCGAGTGCATGAAGACAACTTATCACACATATCAGAAGGAGACATTCATCATGTTTTAGTCGTGTTATGAGAAGAAGGAAAATGGAACATATTGTGACAGCTTGTATGAAGTGGCAGTTTTGATTGTAGTTTGTGACACCGTTGATATTATATTGTCCCTGTGTATGTTTTGGGGCCCCATTTTGTAAAAAAAACAGGAGAGTTGTGAGAATTTAGTCCCTCCTAACAAGCAACAAATTATTAGTTTGCTGACATTGGATGTGTTGGGCCAAAAGGCACAAATATCGCAGCCTAACTGTAAACCACAACATGACAACCACCCTTTTAATGGTAAGCTGTTTGTCTGTCTGTGCCTGGAGGCTATTTAATTGTTCCTGTTTTCTTCAGCCATTGAGCAAGAGAAGAAAGATAACGAATTTCGGCAATCCATCGAAGGATTTGAGAAGACACATCTGAAACATGCTGAGACTGATGAGAAAAACCCACTGCCCACTAGCGCAGGTATGTTGTTTTTGTTTCCTTGAAGTCACGATAATCTTTGCCGTTGTCGGTCCCAAGCTGGGATAATAAGGAGGAGGGTTGGGTGTGGGACTAGTTACCCCACCCTGTAACGGTTTTGTTGTGTGTATAGAAACTTGCAGATAGAATGGAACATTTGACTGTAAGCTCTGGGTGGCATGAAATGGCCCAGCAGGACAATGAGGAAGTCCTGATACACTTGGTAGAAGCACATGTCATTTCATTGATAGGTAATGTCATGAGTGTGGTAAATCATCTTCTTCTTCTTATTCTTCTTCTCCTCCTCCTGCTGCTTCTTCTTCTTCTTCTCCTCCTCCTGCTGCTGCTGCTTCTTCTGTTGTGATTTTTGTGCTCTTCAGCCAATATTTATGACTTCCTCAGGTAGTGGTGTGTGGTTTAACTTTCCAGTGAGTGTGGGCAATGATTCACTTCCACCTGCCAGGATTAACTGTGATCATCATCAGTCAGCAGGTTCTTAACAGAACGTCTCTGTCTTCACAGCACACTTGAAAGTCTTAGTGCAGTGAAGCAGACGGAGAATCCACACATTGAAAGAGTAATTCAGTTGGGGGGGGGGGGGGGGAGTAGAGGTTGTGGAAGGTATTCAGCATTGAGGAGGAAACATGACCGGACTTTCAGTCCTTGCAACTGGTACTGTTAGCATGTCAACTCTTCGTTGGCTGCTGAAGATGGTGTCAGAGCACCTGTGGGAATGTTCAGAGTGCAGCGATGTCAATTCTGGATTCATTCATGCACACTGACGTAATGTACCATAGGTGAAACTTGAGTACATTTCAACATGCAGGCAAAGACAAAGTTTCATATTTGATCCAGGGTACGCAGGTGTACAAGGAAATAAGCATGCTGATAGGCTTGCAGGTATTGTTTATTTAATAAAGGTTGTACATTGGACAGGACCATAAGTACTCAGATCTCCTGGTGAGTATGCCTTCAAGTGTTTTTAGGCTGATAACTCCCATTCTGTTTTTTGCTGATGTAATGATTGGTGGCACCTGCATGTTTTTCCTTTCTTGCTGCATGGTACGCCCATGGTTTGCTGCCTGTTAAGTGAAAAATCATTTTCCACAAAGCTGAAAGCCTCACAGCATTCAGTCTCTTCCAAGTTGTTGATGATGTCTCTGCTGTCCATAGATGGCCCATTCCTGATAGTTGCATTGCCTGCCAGCGTGTCTGCTCTCTCATTGCCTTTCACACCAGCATGATCTGGGACAAAAATAGGGATTTTGCAAAACACTGCGTGCTGTATCAGTTGGCGCCACTGTTTTTGTATATGCCCCCACCTTGATCTTCTGTAGCAAGCTCAGTGAGTTGCTGAGAAAGCATGCATAGGTAAACATCTGAGTTTTCAGCCATTCTAGCACCTTTGTCACAGCCATGACCTCCATTGTTATGTTGCTGGTGGTAGAAGCAAAGGCTTCACTGTCTTCTTTGATTTTTCCTTTTCTTGCCGTGAAAACCCACACATTTCTTAAGAATTACAAAACCATCTGTATATATAACAGCATTTTCCGGTGATATGTGTTCTTCCACCAAGGCATCAACTATTGGTGACGCCAAATCACGGCGCTGTCATGTCAGGGTGATAACCACCACAAAGTACTGTTTATATTCATTTGGTATGGGTATCCATTTCCCCTCCACGGTTTATGTCTTGAAGGGAAATCACCCGTAGAAGTACTGTCTCTGCACAGCCTAACCAAGACCGGCTTCATTGAAGTCTGTTACCTTTATATGTATTTAGTTAATCGTGCAGAGGATGTGTACAGATCCCCAGTGATTTTGAGGTAGGCACATGCTTGGCACAGTTCATCCTGCTGTTAATATCTGGAAGATCTAGTAGGTATCTCATTGCTCTACATGATGAGCCTAGTATGGTGAGCATTGCGTCATTTTGAACCTTTTCCAGACTGTCGATTTGTGTCTTGCTAAGAGTTAGAATTGCCATTGCATATTCTGTGACAGAGGCTTTCAGGTGAAGCTGCCATGGACGGCTGATGAGCCATGGACCAGACGGATATTCTGAATGCTCTACGGAGAAGTAAGATCAAGAGCAAGAGATGACTTCTTCTTCTTTCGTTCGTCTGAAATAAGTTGTCTATATCAGCAATTTTGTCTCTTGTATAAATTTCACTGTTGTTGTTAATTCATTCAGTGGTCCATAGAGTTTACGTTCCACTGTTGTCCTTTCTGGCCAAAAGGTTTGCCTTAATGTGTCAAATTCGGTGCAGTCCTGGAGTACATGCTCAGCTGTCTGGGGCACCTTTCCACAGGTGCACATGGCTGATACGCCTATCTTGAAATTTGTGTACATGTGGTAACGTAATCGGTTGTGCCCTGTTCTAAGGCGGAGGATAATGACTTGTTCTGATCTGTCCAAAATAAAATAAGTCGTCTTGTGCTGGGGCTGGTGGTTTCCTGATTGATTTAATGATTCTTTTCTTTTGGTGGTATGTGACTGAATCTGCAATCGTGACCAGACAGTAAGAAGAACATGTTAAAAGGAGTGTGGTCAGACAAGAGCACTTTGCAGGAAGCCAGAGAAAAAGAATAAACCAACCCAGAACTGGTGCCGGGAGCTGCTACACACGGCAGGATTTACTAAGGAGGGGATCTGAGCACTTATGGACTGAATTGTTTGATGTGGAATAAGGATAATCTGTCAACAAACTAACAGAGAAAGTTTGATTTAATTACCCTGTTAAAAATTATTATCTAACTTAATAGATCATCATATGATCGTTGACCTATACTAACCTATTCTTGTTCTGTCCTTATTCAGAAATAGCTGAGGAGAAAGCTGCAAAAAAGTAAACTCTCGCTGCAGAGAAGATTTCCTGGCCACAGCGAAGATACCCAAGGGCATTCAATGTTTACTTTGTCACAGCTTCTGAAAATAATCAGTGATCGTCCGTTTCTGTGAACCTCAAATGTTTGCCATGTTGTCGGCGGAGAAAGTTCTTCTTTGTTCTGTGGAGATGTGTTTGGTGCCTGGCCTATATATTATCACGTTGTTGCTGAGTTTGTGCATTGGATTAGATTGTCTTGGCCCTGGGAGGATCATCAGAAGATGCAGGAACCAGGACAGTTAAGGGATGAGAGACCAGTCTGTTGTAGGAGTGTGCCACTTCTTTCACTTGATGCCCATTTAGCTCGAAGCTCATGTAACATTGTGTGGTGATCACCTGCTGAGCTGAGATCAAATCACAACGTATGTGTTTCATTTGTATGGATATATATCTAATAATTGTTGCTTTATTATCCTTTATATTGATGCTTGTATTTGCACGTTTATTTGTGTAATTTCAATGTATTATCAGCATTATTTCAGTCACCGTGTGGTTAAGGATCTGTTTTAAGTGCAGTAATTTTCTGGATAGTTTCTACTGTTGATTTATTTTTACTTTGTGTCTGTTTTAGGCTAGCTGTCACTGTAATTGGATCTGCAGGAGGCAGCAAAGAAGAGAGGGGATAATTGGTGGAAGTTGGTTTTTATCAGAAAAGAAGACACACGGGAACCAAAAAATATGAAAAATTACCTCAGAAAAGAGAAGAAAATGGGAAAAGAAGTCACATATGTAGACAAAAAGAATGGGGGAAAAACAGAATAAAAAACGAAAAATGAGAAAAGAAGAAAAATATATGAAAAATTGGGGAAATGATGAGAAACAAACAAAAAATGTGAAAGATTAGAGGGAAAAAGAAAAGATACACAATCACATATGGTTACTACCATGAAGTGTTATTGTCTTTGTTAATAGCAAATATGGGGATGTGTAATTAATTTGAAAAAAAAAAGTATTCTGTTTATAAGTGAACTTGTGGAATGCCAGGGGAAGCTGTCACTTTAATTGCCAAGGAAAGCCCTGGGCAGCCATAGAGCTAGCATTGACATGTCAGTCTCTGACACTGACTGACCTGGCAGGACACAATACAACTATATCACCTGTTACATTTTCTGTAGTTCAGTCTGCACATTTATTATTTTCACACATAAAATACAATTGCTAACTTTACAATGGTATAATATGTACCATTATGTTGGTATTTGGAACAGATGTCGCCATTTTCTGGCATTATCAGTAACATTTACGAAATGCATTTATAACGTAATACAATAACCAAGAGACTGACATTTTAGGAAATAGAAATATCCTAGCGTATTTTCACTTTTTTGCACGTAATATTCTTATCTCAGTTGTGGGTGTGAAGCATAGAAGGTGAGCATTTATCGCTGTCCAGGGTTTCTTGTGAGATATTTGTACTGTTGAATGTTTAATCATGGTTTGTTGTCATACTTTGAACTTCAGATGAATTTCTTTGGAATCGGGAAGAAAGGGCGGGAGCAGTTGCAGGGAATCAACATGTAATTGAAAGTCAGAAACATGATAGTGATGTGTGTTTTTATCTGGAAGCCATCACACTCAGAAGTTTGTTTTTCTGTGAGAAGTCTCGCAGCAGCAAGTCTCATGCGCTAAAAATCATTTGTAAGGCCGTAGACACTGGGAACTGCAGTTAGTATATGACTGTCATATCTTTGACAGTGAATATACTGACAATTATTTTTGGGCAGTGAATATACTGTCATGTCTTTAGCAGTGAATACATTGTTGTGTTTTTGGCAGTGAATACATTGTTGTGTTTTTGGCAGTGAATACATTGTTGTGTTTTTGGCAGTGAATACATTGTCATATTTTTGGCTTTGAATAGTTATATAAGTCAAATCCTTGACAGTATTATTAAGCATATCCTTGAAGAACTTAATGTTATATCCTTGGTATTTAGTCACCCTCTGCAGTAGGTGAAATAATATCTTCCACAGTGAAAATAGGGTGTGAGACTGAGACAGTAATAGTATGAATGAATGCCGGGAAGGCTAACCCGGTCAACAAATGCCTGCAGAATTCGGATGTGTTGGCCGAAAGGTGCAAATATCGCATCCATGCTGTAAACGGACACAACGCAATTACATCTTTGGATGAACGCAGAAGAAGAAGAAAAAGAAGTATGAATGAATCATAGGGCATTAAACAAACAAAATCTAACGCTAAGCCACAATGGAACTCCCAAGATCAAAATTTCAGACAGTGCACATGTTGTTGTTGAATGCCTGAAAGGTTGCAGCTCTACGTTAACTCTTAAGTGCCTTCACATTTTATAGATTTTATTGTGTGTGCCTTTTCTTATCATGCTATTCTCACATGTATCGCACTTTTGTAAATGCTTTAATTTGTGTACGCAAGTTCCTTATTGCTTTCTGATTTTATTGTTTCACCAGTCACACATGGTTTTAATACCGCATGTAGCTAGCACAGCATTACAAACAGCCTTAAATAAATGCTAAAGATTATAACAAATACAATATGTAACACTAGTGAATGTAGTAAGGCGAGGCAAGATGGATACAGGACATTAAAGATGCATTGGAAATAAAAGCAAATGGGGTTGGAGAGCTGGCTAGGGAAAAGGATACTTGCTAATTGATGATCATCAGTAAATATAGAAAATCAGAAGTGTCATCATTATGCTCATGGCTTTCCTCTAGGGAAGAAATGTTTCTCAGACTCACCACAAAGTGTCTCAAATAGGTTTTTCTACTCACAGCACTGCGGATTATAGCTGCACTATAAAAAAAAAAGGGTGCATTTTCTGTGTACCATTACATTTGTCCAGAAAAAAGCCCTATTATATTACTGTGTTTACTGAAAAGAGATATGAACAAGAAAAAGACAATATAAAATTATAACTTCTGCTGGGTTTTTGGTAATGTGTTGTATTAACTCTTTCAGTCGCAGATGGTTTTCGAAGTAGAAACCTAGTCTGGCACAGTAATCACAGTGAGAAAGACATCAGTGTATGACTTTCAAAGTCTTTTTAATGGATGGCCAGATTTATTTTGCAATCCCAGAACCAAACAGGAAATGCATAACAACACACCATGTGTTGTGCTGATACATGTGGACCTAAGCGGAGCAGACACGGTGCATAGATTATGACATTGTTTAGTGATGGTAGTATTTTGATGTCTGGTGCTCTAAGTTTCAGTCTAAAACATGGCCAAGATTTAGATGAACACTTAGTTAATAAGATGTCCAAGCGGCACCACCATGAATTATCAATGTCTAGACCAGAGATACCGATTTAGTTAACTGTTTTGGAACCTGAGACGGCATCATGCCGTGATTGATATCTGATCTAATTGTCCCCTGTTACAGAAAGAGTTAAGACATTGAAGACTCCTCTTATTTTGATGTGGTTACTGCAGACCCCATACTTGTTAATAATCATACTAAAGGACTTATTATAATTTATAACTATTATCCCCCCCCCCCCCCCCAATGCATTCTGTAACCCAGATCCGCCACATTTTTTGGGGGCCAATCACTATTTTCATTTTTTGAAAAATGATAAGAACCCCCCATAATGTTTTTAGTAAATTTTACCATGACCCATCCAAATTTTGGGGTTAAAAATATAAACCCTTTTTGTTTCTTTATTTTTTTGGTGAATGATACAAACCCCTTAATAACTATTTTTTTTTTTTGGGTGGTAAATGATATGAACCCCCTTACATTTTAAAAAATGTTTTGGGTGTAGATGATATAATGAACCCCTAAATTCATTATTGAAAAAAAATATGATATTATGAATCCTTTAAATTGTTTTGATGGAACACAAAATAGGAAGCATTGATCTAGACCAGTGGTTCTCAACCCTCCTAATGCTGTGACCCCATAATACAGTTTATTTCTTATGTTGTGGCGACCCCCAAACCATACAGTTATTTTCTTTACTAATTCATGACTTGAATGAATATTTGTTTTGGGATGGTCTTTAGGGATCCTTGTGAAAGGGTCGTTCAAACCCAAAAAGGGTTGAGAACCAATGATCTAGACCAATTGTTGCCATTGATAACTGGTTTTTAAAAAAAAAAATATCTTTTTAGCTGCAACTTGAAATTTTTAACCAGCAGCAGTAGTAGTTGGAAACAAACATGGCAGTATTGCCTCGACCACTCAGTGAAGTAGTTGGAAACAAACATGGCAGTATTGCCTCGACCACTCAGTGAAGTAGTTGGAAACAAACATGGCAGTATGGCTTCGACCACTCGGTGTACATCTCTTTCCTCAGCAGGAAACATAAATAAATGCCATATGTGACCGTAAACACATACTCACTATTGTTCCCATAACAGCAAGTCTGCACAAATCACTGATCTGTGTTATTGCAATCTGATTGTGTCACTTGACTCCGCTCACCTGACTGTTGCTGAGATGTCATGGTTACTTGTCAGGCAAACATTTGATAGATTCCACTCTTGTTTGAAAATTATTATCATTTTCTAAATTCAGTTGGAGTTTAGAAACGTAATTCTTATGTGTTGCACGGAACCCAGTTTTAACATATGGCTCGTAGTCCTGGAATATTTAGTTGAAAAAAAAATTTCTTTTGAAGCCCCAGCGATAGGGTTGGGTTTTATGCAGGTAGGGACTGACGAAAATGGAGTTGACCACCCTAACATCCTTCACCTTCGCCTGACACAGTCACAGCATATGTTGGTGTCAGACTGCAAATGCGTGTTTTATCTGGGCAGTAGTAGCTCATGTTGAATTAGTTAATGATATCAAACTGAGAAGCTGGTTTCAGCCTGAGAGTCCTCAATGTTACATTGGTTAAAGTGCCTTTTCCATGACAAGTTGACAGTTGCTTGGTAAACATTCCATCCTTATCACTCTGGGACGTTTATTCAGTCGAATGTTGCCTGTGACCAGCTGCTACAGCCATGTAATCTTGCTGATTTTATTACAATATTT